ACCTGAAGGAGGCTGTGGCCTATGGAGAACACCCTCCGGAGCAGACTCCAGACCAGACCTATAGTCCATGGAAAGGAGCCCATGCAGGAGCAGGTGATCTGGTGGAAGTTGTGGTGGAGTTCAGATGCCCATTTGGGTAAAACCATCACAGATTTAATTCAGATTAAACCTCAGTGATTTTGATGCTAACCCTTCAATCACCCTGATAACTGTTGAGAGGGACAGCACAGCAGGGCATAGGCAATCCAGGAGGTTCCTGGAATGCACCAATAACTTCCTTCTCCAAGGGATAGAGGAGCCAACAAGGAGAGGTGCTATGCTGGACCTCATTCTCACCAACAAGGAGATGCTGGTGGAGAATGTGAAACTCAAGGGCAGCCTTGGCTGCAGTGACCATGAAATGGTGGAGTTCAAGACCCTTAGGGCAGAGAGGAGGGTGCACAGCTCGCTACCCTGGACTTTGGGAGAGCAGACTTTGGCCTCTTCAGGGATCCACTTGGTAGTGTGAAATATGTTTATGTGATTTGTGTCAGTATGGAACAGTGCTAGGGCCGCATGGTATGATGAATGTGACCTTCTGTCATACATACCCTTGTATAACCACAAGTCTAAGAAAAACAGAGTGGTTAACGTATATAGTTCTTGTATCTTGCAAAGGAATGTTTTAGCAAGTCGTGTCAATAGAGAGCTTGAAGGGAAATGTATTTGTAGGCTTTTCCTTGAAGTCTCTGATATCTGGGGGGGTTTCAGAATAACTGCTAACTATTATGACTATTGCACGGGACACTATGCAAGTCTCTGATATCTGGCCGGGAGATTAAGGAGACGGGGAGACCTGAAAAACAACTAAAAGACAAAGCTTGCAGAGGACGCTGCACAAGTCTCTGACATACAGCCAAGTTGGACAAAGGAGAAGGACAAGAGGAAGGAAGACTATGAGCCTTCAGCACGAGAGACCCCCAGAGACTGATACGCATGCGCCAGTAGGAGGGTTCGGATTCCAGAAACTAATTATAATAACCCTGTTTGTTTTTTTTTTTTAGAAGTAGTAATGAGTATGTATTAGCCTAGGAGCATAAAAAACAGCTGCTTGATGTAACTGGTATGCATCTTGGTGGAACAGAGACTTCCAGCGCACCCAGCGCTGTTTGCTTACCTCTAGTCCTTTAATAAGTTGTAAACTTTGATGATAGTCCTATTTTGAAGACTGAGCCATTTATTACAGTAGAGTCCCATGTAATAATGCCCTGGGGGGGGAAGAGGGGCCCCAAGAAAGCTGGTTAATATTCAAAGATCACCTCTTCTAAGCTCAGTGATGCATCCCAACATTTGGGAACTGAAAAAAATCAGCAGGAATCCCAAAGCCAAACTAGAGTCTACATGCACAATGAAAGCTGTATCATCAATTTAGAATTTATTCTTTTAACAGGAAAAGGTTCTAAACAGAAATACTTGTGTGTTTTTTTTTTTGATGAATATTCTGTCTGAACTGTAAGATGAAGAGAAGCGATTTTTATTTTATTTTTATTTTTTTTTTAAACTTAGACCCACATATCTGATAATGTTTAATTCCATGACAAATTTTCTTGGTAAAAATCACAACTTGCTAATCAAAGAGAAGACTATTACTAACAAAAGCAAAGAGCTTGCTTCATCCACTAGCCCTTCACATTAAGTTCTATGTACAGTTTCCTTCACCTTTCAGGTATTTTTTCTGATCTCAGGAGTCTTCTGCATTAAAATATACAGATATATCCATACTTTAAGGTATATACTCTTGTGATGGTGGGTTAAGCTTGGCTGTCTGCCAGACCTCCACCCAGCCACTCTCTTACTCCCCCCTCCTCAACAGGGCAGGGTGAGAAAATAAGATGGAAGAGCTTGTGGGTCAAGATACAGACAGAGATCACTTACCAATCACTGTCATGAGCAAAACAGTCTCAACTTAGTGAAAATTAATGTAGTTTACTGCCAATTAAAATTTAAGTAGGATAGTGAGAAACCAGGAAAAATGGTTCCATTGCCAAGCCAGCTGGGACTGGCTTTGTCCAACACAGGGACAGCCCCAGTCTCTTCTCAGAGACCACCCCAGCAGCACCCTGCTACCAACACCTTGCCACATAAACACAATACAATTCTCTATACATGTACACTTTTTTCCTCTATATACATGCACAGTTTTTAATTTTTATTATTATTTCCTATCAGACATCTACCAAAAAGAAACCAATAGATAAGAATACTTCTGTAAGTATGCTCATGTTTTCTTGAAAGCAGGATCCTAGAGTAGTAGCTTTCAATTTATCCTTTTAATCTTCTGTGGAAGGTATGAGTTCATACAGCAAATTCAAGCCTGCTGACAAAGAGCTGGTTTTACTTAACTGTCTTTTGTGGTCCACAGAAATCAACAAAGCAAATTAAATCCACAGAAATTACTGCACTGTCGTAACATCAGCTTTCAAGAATGTAAACGATGATAAGGATATTTGGTGCAAGAAACCACTTTCTGCTTACTAAAAAAAGGAAGTACAATGCACCCCAGCCAGCTACTTTCCAAATGGGGTGTACTGAGTATACTCCTTTTTACCTACAGAGTAGGTCTGCTCAAGCGCTCCATGTCTTGTTCTACAGGAAACATAGGAGAATCAAAGAGATGGGAAGTCAGATTGCTATTCAACGTTTCACTTCTGCATTCCCTGTTCTTATTACTAGGTAACTAATATGTATTTACTCCTATTCAAGTTTGCAACAGAATGCTTTCAAGAACATACACAAAAACACTTTGCTTAACTTTAATAGCAATACTCTGAGAAACTTTTAAGTTTTCTGCTTATATTTACTTGCTATCCAGATGAACATTATCTGTGATATTTCACCTAGAACTACTAAAAACAATCCAAAACAGTGATTTATAATAAAGAAAAAGCTGAAGAGTAGATTCCACTGTAATTATTACACAAATTCTAACATCAAGCAGCAAGATTAGTTTAGTGTTTGTCAGTTCACAATCTTTGCCATGCCTGGTACTAGCACATACTTATAGCTTCAGAGGTTGCTAACATGGCCAAGGAAAGTCCAAACAATGCAACAATTATTCAACTGTGAAAATACAAGAGATTCACTTCTACTTGTAGCAAAACAAAACTTCAGGCTCAGCATCTGCAGCAATGGAAAGATTTCTGGTCATCTACCAAACAAATGAAGAGATTCAAGAGTGGAAAGGAGCACAGGAGCATGGCCCTTTCCTTTCCCACATGCTTCAGAAATGCCTTTTCACTGCCAGTCACAGGGAATGGAAGACAGCTACAGTTCCTTACCACAGTGCTGGCCGTTTATATATAATCTAAGGTTTCCAATTAGCCCCTTCTCTAGCCCTCCTATTGCTGAGAATACTACAAGCTTTCCACAACTTCTGCAATTCATTATAAGAGTTTCTTTAAAACAATGTAAACTCCTTTTATAATAGTTATTTTAATAACATAAATTGGCTCAATTCTTTAAAACAGGAAATTTCACTCTTCATGTACAGAGTTTCCTGATTGCAAATGGTAAACATGCAAATATGCTTTCTGACATCTGCCTGTGAATTCAGTAGGCTACAGGGTTAATGATTAATAAAAAACTAGGGAAAAAAAGTTTTAACACTTTTTTAATAAAAAAAAAAGTTTTAAAATAGCTCAACAGCACATTTAAAACACAGAACAAAGTCTCACTTCACCAGCAACTATCAAGTTCCAAGTAATTTGCTGATATTTACTTTTAATAAAATTGTTCAGGAAGCTTTAATGATATTTATTTAGTTTAGTCTTATGAGAATTGCTACAGCTTTTAAATAACTTTGATATACCGGTATTTTTATATCAAAGTGGTCATAGCTTGATATGAAGTAATTTTCCTACATAATTTTTTTAGCTAGGTGGCTTTTTTCAAGTAGTAAAACCTTTCATAAATACAAGGTCAGAGTTGTCCCCAAAAAATTAATGTTTGTTGAAGGTCTTATTTATAATTCTCTAAAAGTTCAGAAGATTAGCTTTATTCACACTTCTATTTTGTTCATATTCCTCTACTCAACTGACAAAGCTTGTTTTGTTTATTTGTTTTATGTAACTGGGAATGTTTTGCCACTTAGTAGAAATAAATTTGTTTGCTAATTAGACAAGTACCATCTTTACTGGAAGGAGAGATCTTTATTTAAAATAAATTAGAGTTTACAAATTATTCACAAGATCCAAAGTTTATTATCTTTCTAGAATATTCCTAGGTATAACAAGAATAATGTCATCAAAAGAATACACAAGAGTTGTCAAAAGTTTCTTTAATTTTACTGCTCATAAATTTCCTAGAGATTTGCACCTAATATCAGCTAAACATTTCTCTCTTCCCCATCTTCCCACCCCATTACTCACTATGCTACATAGTGAATAGATTTTTTTTTTTAAATTTTTTTTTTTTAATTAGGAAAACAGTTGGGAAAGTTGTACTTCCATTTTGGAAACCAACCATGAATTTAACACTTTCCATTATACTGCTTTCACAGCTCAACAAAGAAGGAAGCCTCATAAAGTAGCACATATCAAAAGCTAGAATTAACAGCTCATTGTTCCAGCTTTAGAGATAGTCCAGTTCAGAGCTTATACAGCATATACTATGCATGCATGCCCTGCACTTCATAGACATGGAGTCTTATTTTAACATTTCAATCCAATCTGTTTCAGCTTTTAACACTTACGGCAACTTTTGAGGAAAAAAAAGAGTAACGCTGATACAGTTTTAATACTGGTTAAGTTCTATTCTGTAAGGTATATCCATGATTATTACAGTTATTAAACAAAACTATATGAAACTAACAAGCAGATTAAGCAGACAAAAAAAAAAAGCATAGCCAGTCCTCCTAAACATGTCCTGCTTGCTCACTAGGAAGTTTTGGCACAAAATTAAAAGGTAAAGCAGTTCTATTAAACAAAATACACAACCAGGGACTGAAACGACAAAGTGCTTACCTTGACTCTCCACTACTGTTTCTTACACGTTCTTCATCACTGTGCCCATTCATTGTAAATATTAAGAAGTTTAAAAGATAAATAGAAGTCACTCAGGTTACAAGGTGGATGTCAAGAATCCACTTCCTGGTACTCTGTGTTTTCCAGGTGATGTGTTTATTCAACCGTTCTTTGCATGCATTCAAGTTTTTTCCCAAAATTACCTAAAGTAATAAAACAACATGCACAATTTTAAACACAATTTGAAATATTTGATGGCTACAACTGAAAGATACTGAAAATTACCTGTCCCATCACACCAATGCTAGAAGAGTATATCTCACATTTTAACTGAAAAATATATTTTGTTATACTACGCTGAAAAAATTAAATAACTAAATGAAATACATGAAATGCACAGAAGGAAAGACCTTTTTTGCAGTTGGGCAAAAAACTATTAGGTCCCAGCCATTATATGTTCTTTTATGCAACTTTTCATTGATTGTACTACAAGTTCTGCAAAACCACTAGCTGCAGAATAGTTGCTGGTCTGCCCACAGACCAGCTTTGAAAATGCTATTCTTTTAAGTATTTTGGGTTGAGAAGAGTGGCTTACCATGTATCTGCATTATACCAGGTGGCATGATTTTTGCTATAGTACTATCTTAAGAACAACCAGATCTAAGTTTTAAAGGAAAAAAGCCTCCCAAATGCATAAATATAGACTACAGATATTAATGCTCTGCTAAGATCTGAAAAGTGAAATTATTTCATGCACAAAAAATATCAGAAGCATTTCCAGACACAAACATAATGCTTACATCCAGTTGAGTACAGAGGCTGGAAAATAAGGACTGTCCCTATTAAAAACAAAAAAGAAACAAAAAACAAACAACAAAAAAAACACAGCTCAACTACACCAAGCAAACAAGATCCCACAGGTGGAATGACTGTCATTTCACATACACAAACATCTTCAATCAGTTCACTAGCATCAGATACACCTACAAAAAGTTTAGACTCACTTTAAATGTAGTGCAAGTATGAACTCACTGATAATCAGCTAAAGAGCTGTGCCTCTCACTGATTTAGTGGCATGAAAGCAATTAGTGGCTCATCTGCAAGTTGCCTGCCTCGAACTGCTCCCTTCTAAGTACGACCCGACCCACAGCCTACGATAGGGGCAAGGGCTATCTCGTTCTGGGGTGGAAAAAACCCTGTGCTCAGGCACTATTTCGGACAGAAAGGGCACTCCAGCCATCAAACAAAGACAATGATGAAAGAAAAAGTGACAGGAAAAAGCCTTGTAACCCCAAAGCGGCCGCAAAGCAAGGCCAGGGCCCCAACGGCGGTGAGCCGAGCAGCTTAGTGCTTTCTCGAGAACCAGCAGCTGGCGTCCAACGGGGCCCAGCTCCCCACTGTTTGTCCTCCCGCGCCCAGGGGGCAAACACCTTGCTGCCTGCCTCCGTGTCTGGTACTCTCGGAATCCCTGGCGATACCCTTTTAGCGTCACGAAAGTCTTTCCTTGTCGCCAGCTCCCTTCTCCGCAGCGATCCTCCCCGTGCTCCGACCACGCTCTCGCAGCCTCCCGTTACCGACCGCTCCCAAAGCATTCCCGAGAGAAGCCGAGGCCAGAGCTGCATCCCTACCCCTCGTGGGTTCGCTTCCAACCCCCAGAGACAGCACTCCGCTGGTGGTGCACCCCGCGCAAGCGCTGCTCCTAGTAGAGTCACCAAGGCCGCCGCAGTCCTCCATGCTCACTTCCCCCAGCGCCCCCCATGGGCGGAGAAGAGCGAAGGCCGCACTACCAGCCGGTTCGTCACAGGCTCCCCCCACAGGAACCAGTGAAAAAGCCTCAACCCCAATTAGCTGCCTCGGCTCTCACAGCTCCCTCCCCCGTCGGATAACAGCGAGCAGGCCCAGGAGCCCAGATCCGCAGTAGGTATCCAGCCCCCTGTCCTCAGTACCAGCCACCTCCCCATCCATCTTCGAAAGCTACCGCACAACTCCAGACGAGAGAGGGAAAGGAACCATGACAGACCTCTACCTACCTGCGTGTGTGTGTTCGTGCCAGCCTCCCTAGCGCAAGACAGAGCTATGCTCCACAAAGAGGTTTGTGCTGTAACCTTTAGCCGAAGACTGCTCCGGTGACCGCCGCAGGGCCTGGACCGCCGGCTCCTCACAGCCCTGCACAGTGGGCTCGCCCGCAGCCCCCACCGGTTCGAACAATAGAGCCACCCCTCGCTCCCCCCCCCCCCTCCAAGCAGGGAGGAGCCTGGGAAAACACAGTAGGGGCTGTGCTGTGCCGCCGCTTCTTAAGTCCTCCCGACCATCGCCATCACGCTGCCGCTCCGCTCAACGTCCTCCTCTTCCCCTCAGTCAGATGGAAATCCTGGGTGTGATGTCAGTCCTGCGCCTTGGGACAGAGCAAGGAGGAGGAGCAATGGCTGGGAGGGGATAGCACCATCGTGTTATGGCGGCAGGAAGGGCGCAAGCGGCCTCCTTGCCGCACCGGATACTGGCTGAGCCGAGGGCAGCAGGTATCTGCCTGCCGCAGCAAACAAGCGCTGGGGCCAGTGTCGGTACCAGTACCGCTCTTGGTGCCTTCTGCAACTCCCATGTGAGGGGGCAGGGTGCGGTCCAGCCTGGGGGGTGCCCATGACCAGCACAGCGTGGCAGTGAACCTAGCCTAGACCACACTGAGAGAGGAAGTTAGGAGAATCTTATCAAGTAGTGATAGAGCACTGACAGCATTAAACTAGGATGCTACTTAGTGTCTTTGCTAACTATGGTGCACTGTGCAAATTAATTAAAGCAAGAAGCATTGGGCCCCTTACCAAGGTCAGTCTCCTAATAAGAGTGTGAGCCTATCTTAGGAAACTGGTAGAAATGGGTCCTGCGGATGGACAAGAGCCAAGGAGCAACTGAATCTGCACAAAGACAAGAGGTCAACTAGCGGTGATGAGGAAGAGTCATCAGTCTTCATCCCCACGACCCCCAACGACCACCACTAGAATACACTGTGCAAGCGCAGATGGAAGGAGTTTATGGAAATGACTCTTTGGAACTAATTTTAATATGAAGTGGGGATGGGTTATGAATATGTATAGGCGTATTGTGAAACTTCATGCATATATAACTCTTTACTGCATATAACCAAGGCAAGTTGCCGCATCAGGTGCGCACGACTTTGGCGGGACTACCCCTGTGCTGCCCAGCGCTGAATAAACATACCCACTTTACAATCTTACTGATTATGGAGTCTGTTTTCCGCAAGTCAGTTTGGCGAGCCAGCCAGGAGATGCTCTGCTCAGCTGCGGGATCGACTGCAGAGTGGACGCACCTAGGGGCACCCTGAGTATTTTCCTTGGAGGAGCCTCTGCTCTCAGCCGCTCAACGCGGGAGCAGACAAGGACCTCCTGAAGCTGCGGACAAACAGTATGTTTTACAGTACAGGAAGTCGTACACGTGACGGGGCAGCTGGTAAATCGTGCAGAGACATCTGGCGTGCAGCGTAGTCCCCATATGGGAGGAGGGTAACCTATAGGCTGACCGATAGTACGGTCAAGGAGAGATTTGGTGACTGATACGAGTGGTCAAAGGGTATTTGCTGACCAATAGAATCAAGGGGGATTTGCTGACCGACAGAGTGGCCACTAGCGATCTTGGCAGTAGATCAAGCAAATCTGAGGTTACCGCTGCATCCCAGTTTTGGGAGCCAGGATGGACCTGCTAATGACTGTATAAGAAGCATGGGAAGAAGGGTAAGCGGGCCTCTCACAATTGTGACAAGGTTACCTGGGTAATATTTTCATCTGCTGGAGGGATATTAATTGGAGCGTTAATAATTGTATGTCTTATTTGTGGATGTCTGGGTATCTCATGTTGAAAGCATTTGTGTATGTGTTTGAGACAGAGTATTGTTGTGAAGTGAATTACTCCACGAGGAACACAGCCAGAAATGATACAAACAAGTTTGGTTATTGTTTTAAGTGATATATTCTTGTGGTATGAACGAGAAGTGCAAGGGACCTCCCTGTGTGATTGCGTGATTGTGCTGTGTGAGTGAGACACAGCATTGCTGCAAAGTGAGTGCGGAGTTCCGATCTGTGGTTCCATATTCTCCGTGAGGGGATGTCGTGGTTCCGCTCGAGTGGGCAGCCGAGCTCCACCACAGCCGCTCTCTCACTCCCCCTCCTCAAAGAGGAATGGGGAGAAAATATGTGAAAGGGGCTCAAGGATTGAGATAAGGACGAGAAAATCACGCAATAATTAGTGTAACGGGCAAACCAGACTCAGCATAAGAAGACAGATAGTAAGATTTATTGCTCATTACTAACAAGCTAGAGAAGTGAGAAACAAAGGAAAGAAACCAAAAGCACCTCCCCCCCCATCCACCCTCTTCCACCTCCTCCCCCCGAGCGGCGCAGGGGAACGGGGGAATGGGGGTTATGGTCAGTCTACAGCACTTCTTCTCTGCCGCTCCTTCTCGGTCACTCTCGTCCCCTGTGCTGTGGGGTCCCACCCACGGGATGCAGTCCTTGATGAACTGATCCGGCGTGGGCTTCCCACAGGTAGCAGCTCTTCCAGCACTGCTCCAGATATGGGTCCGTACCACGGGGTCCATCCCTCAGGAGAAAACTGCTCCAACCTGGCTCCCCTACGGGCAGCAGCTCCTGCCAGATCACCTGCTCCTGCGTGGTCTCCTCTCCACGGGCTACAGGTCCGGCCCGGAATCTGCTCCGGCAGGGGTCTTCCACAGGCGGCAGCCTCCGTCGGTGCAGGGCCACCTGCTCCACCGTGGTCTCCTCCACGGGCTGCAGCGTGAAACCCTGCTCCACCGTGGTACTCCATGGGCTGCAGGGGGACATCCTGCTTCACCATGGTCCTCACCACAGGCCACAGGGGACTTCTGCTCCGGCGCCTGGAGCACCTCTCCCCCTCCTTCTACACTGACCTTGGCACCTGCAAGGCTGTTTCTCACTCCCTTGACTCTCCCGGCTGCTGTGTGGCGCAGCGTTTTTTTTCCCTGTCTTAAATATGCTCTCACAGAGGCGCAAAACAACATCGCTTATTGGCTCAGATCTGGGAAACAACGGGGCCCTTCCCAAACATGGGGCGGCTTCTAGATCTTTCTCACAGAAACCACCCCTATGGCCCCCTGCTACCAAAACCTTGCCACGTAAACCCACTACAGGGGAATGGCCGGAGATGAATGAAGCGCATGACAGTCTGAAAAGAAGTGCTGTTTTATCCAAGTGTTGATTGGTGGTGCCCAATATATGGGCCTGGCGGTATATCTTGTGATCCTATTTTGTTCTTAAACGTTTTGAGTGTGACAAGAAAAAAGGTGGGAGCATTATCTAAGTAACTAACAGTTTAGAAGTGTTGGTGTATTTGCTGTGGTGTTTGGTCAGTTTCCCAAGTACTGGGGGGGGAGGGGGCTGACTGATTATCAAAGCAGCAGAACTGAGAGAGTCATTTCTTTGGTGGTTCGGGCTTGAGCCCTGGGAATTTGGTAAGAAGGGGGAGAGTGAATTTATTTAGGTGTCAATACCTTTTAAACCCCCCATATTGACAGATACACAGGAGTGATTCCTTGTTTTGTGTGGGCTTACTAACAAAGTGCATGAGAAAAATCGGCATTCGGCTTGAAATTCGGTCCTGTTGAAATGTAAATTTTGTGGAAAAGGTGGTATTGTTTGTCTAGAAGATGGAAGGCTGAGTGCTTCAGGTGTTTTTCCGAAGTCCTGTGGATTTATGATTGGAACGGGGCTCATTAATAATCTGAAATAGTAAAGTTTGTATGTGGGAAGAAGAGTTTAATCCCAGAGAATTGGGACATTGGAGAAGAAGATTAGAAAAAGATAGTAAGTAGTAAAAAGGTTTGCCTGGAAATTGAACAAAGGACAGTAACTAATATAAATAAATAAAGGGGAATGGGAAATCAAGGAAATGGGTAATATCCAAAACAAAGACGTTTTAAAGAAAGCCTCCTTGGGCACACTGGCACACTATTGGCACATTGGAAGGATATTGTTAGAACTGGGGCGCACAGAAAGCAAGACGACTTCCACTAAGTATTGCAATCAATGGTGGCCAATACATAAGCTAAATGGCCACTTTATGGATCAATCGACTATAACACTATCTTGCAATTAATGTTGGTTTTGAGGAGAGAAGGGAAATAGGATGTATACTGATATGTTGTTTCAGCATCTTAGGGGGAAAAGGAGTGGAATTAAATTGGCCCCTGACTGAGCATTTGCTGTTGGCATGAGAAAAGTACAGGCTGGAGAAAGATAAAGGAAGGGTTGAAAGGGTTGTTGAAGGTGTTAAAAGTTGTGTGGCATGTAGTATTTAACAGAACTGTTTGAAGTTGAATGAGCAGGGAAAGAGGATGTAGGAATGTTAATAGTTCTGCCTCAACAGGAGGCTGTGATCTCAAAATCAGGGTGTGAGCCTTTGGGGCAGAGGGACCATGATGGGTCCGAGAGAGTTGTCATGGAAACAGAAAAGCAGCTCTTAAAACAACCTGAGTTCATGTGTGAGCTCAGATTGCCAATGGGACCGCTCAGGGAACTGTCAACGATTGCATTTCCCTGACAGACACACCCCCACTGAGACCCTAATCACCCCGGAAATTATGTAAATACCAAAATCTGGTTAAATTGGGAATTGAGAATCTGTTCCAGCAAGGTCCAAAAGAAATCCCTATGGAATTTTTGAATTTTTGGACCAACTTTGAAATACAATGAATAAAACAATAACTAAACAAAGAAACAGACAAAAAAATTGACCTGGCTTCAGAAAACAAACAGAGGTGGTTGGCTAGCCTCTTTCTAGGGCAATCGGTCCCTGATATCAGAAAGAAATTGTCTTAGGCTGCAGGATAAACATGCAACATTCAGGAATGACGGGGACCTGGGACATCTACCCTAGCAGGTCCACTAGTTGAAATAAAGCTAAGGAATGAAGAAGTGAGGCTTGATTTTTTTTGTTGGTTACAGGAACTTCTTTCTCTGTGTTAGTCTGTAAATGTAATAGGAGCAACTGGCCAACAGGAAAAGGCATTTTTTGTTGTTGTTGTTTTTTGGTTTTCAGTGCTTGAAATTTAAATTGGGAAAAATGATTGGAATTACAAAATAAGAAAAGCAGTCAAATTTGGTTCATGGTATTAGATTTAAAGGATGCCTTTTTCTGCCTGCCCGTGGCAACTGAAAGCAGGAAACTCTTTGCCTTTGAATGGGAAAATCCTAATAGAGGACGGAAAACTCAGCTTACTTGGACTGTGCTACCACAGGGGTTCAAGAATAGCACCACCATATTCAGGAACTGTGATCTTGAAGCTCGAAAGACCCCTTCGGGAAAAGGGGACACTGTTGCAATACAGAAATGATAGCTACTATTGAAGAAAAGGAATGTGTAGAATGGACTATTAGTTTAGTAAAATTTTTCGGCACTAATACTGTGAACCCAGCCTCTTTCCTTAGTAACAGAGTTTCCAGATCACCTAATCATGATTGCATCAAAACCACAGGCACAGTATACTCCAGCTGACCAGACTTAAA